CCCATATTTTGAGTGTATGCTCCAGTACTCCTCTATAAAAATTCTAGCATATTCACCAATCTGCCATACTTCTCTCTCTTTATCTTCAAAAATCTTAGACCTAAAAAAATCAACATGCTAAGAATAAGCACTAATCCGGGTTCGTTCTTTTTGAAGTTAAATTAATTTTATGGTAATAGACATGAAAAAAGACAACATGCCAAGAATAAGCAGTAATTCCGGTTCGTTCTTTTTTTTTTTTTTTGATAAATTAATTTTATGATAATAGACATGAATAAAGATAGATTTTCATTCTGAGGAGGAGTTGCAACAACAGAACACAGAATAGTGGAAACAATAGATCATTATTTAACCTAAACTTTCATGGACCTTTCCATTACGTGATTAGTATAGGTTAATGTACTTAATTTGAATCTAATTCTATACTTAACCGAATCCATATAAATTACTTTTAGATATTTTTGAATTTAGCATTATTTGTTTTATTTGTTAAAAAAAATTATAACACCACAGTCGAATATACTATATATAGTTGGGAAGAAATTTTTTTTGTTTAAATGCCATCTTGTCATTTGCCTTTTCTTTTCTTCGTGGAAGGCCATAACTGATCAAAGATTTGGGGATTGGAGATGACACTTCGTATAAGCACTGAAAAAAACAGGGACAGGCTATGAAATTAAACTTAATTAGTACGCCAGTTATGGTGCTATCCAAGGTTTGTAAAATCGGGATCCTACATAGGATCGATTTTAGTTTCATAGGATCGGATCGTAGGATCGGATCGTAGAATCGTAAGATCCTACCAAAAGCTCTTAATTGCAATTAAAGGTTGCAATTCTTTGATAAATTACAAATATACCACAAATATTTTCATTTACTTGCAAAATGGAGCTTCGTATTTCACAAATTTACAAAAAAAATGTAAAATCGTACGATCCTACCGATCCTACGATCCTACACGATCCTACCGATCCTGTTACGATTCTATGCGATCCTACAAAGATTAATATGATTTGCGACTCTGCATACGATCCGGATCGATTTTGGTTATCCGGATCGTAGGATCGTACGATCCTACGATCCGGATCGCGATTTTGACAACTATGGTGCTATCTATCCATCGGCTCTTCAAATATATATCGTGCATTCACTCCGCTGAGGGGCCATGGTTTGTTTGGATTGAGAATTATTTGTCAAAATTTATTTGCTTACATCATCATTACAATTTCCAACACACCTTGTTACATTCCCAATTACCTTTTTATCTCACATACATCATATCACAAAAAGTGCTACAGTAAAAATATCTCAAATAATTTACAATCTAAACAGTGACAATTCTGTCGGCTGTCATGGAAAACGGAGGCGCCTAAAAACTCGAAGAATCATTGGCCAATTTTTTTTTTTTTTGGTTTAGTACGGACTCAATCAATTAATTGCAAAAACTATAGCTCAAGCAGCTGCCTTCTGTTCTCATTTGCCCATGAATATGTGGGCATGAGATCTTTGAAACCTCGTGTGGTTGAAGGAAAAGGCCTTTCAGTTATGGGTGGGACAACTTAAAATTTCCTGGCTAGAAGCAAGAGTGTCATTGCCTTCAAAGTTCAAATTGAGCCGATTCCCGACTAAATGTTCCACCAGAAAGTAGGACCACATGAGACTCATTAATTCACATATTATGCTAGTCTACTTCACATGTTAAATTAAATCAAGTGAAGCCACATGAAATGCCAACTGCCTAAGAGGCCGTTGGTACCACCAAAGTCTTGGTGGAAATGGGAGGCAAGGGTTTTTCACCTTGCCACTTTGTGATTTTTTTCGACAGAAAAATTCCGTCGACTCTCCCTTCCCTCATAATGTTATCGTTGTAAAAAATAAATAAATATTTAGTTGAAACTACTTGATTGATTCGAGAATAATTATTAGACAATGTCCAATAACTACTTCGGACCAACATAAAATTTTACTATCACCAACATTACAGAATTACAAGAAGGGTACGAAAGCGAAAAGAGAAAATAGCAACAACCTCTCCGACAACACATCACATCTTTACATGTATCATATTTGAGCTATCAAATCACGGCAGATCGACACTTTGCTAATTTAGTACCAGTTGCTATCATAGTTATAAAACTTGGCTCGATCCGATGGTCGAACCGATCAATCGGTGAATCGATCATATGATTGAATTGGATTGCTAATTAAATCAGTTAAGCAACAAATTCGTTGACCTGTTAAAGACTTGAGAGCTCAACTGGTGAACCGAAAAAATCGCTAGTCAAACCATTAGTTGAAACACCAACTTAAAAAATTTACTAATTTTATAATATAAAATATGTTATTATATTATATAATATTAGTAACTAATATACAACTCTTGGCTGAACCCGTAACTTAGTGATTCAGTCACCTCTCTAAATTGAGCACTGGATCCAATTTAATAACTATGGTTGGTACCAAACCTTCCCGCTACAACTGTATATATATGTACTCCACGTGTCTAATTTACGGATTTGGTCCCGGACCATTGGTGTTAGTTATACAAGTTAGTTACAAAGGGGAGACGCGCATGTTGTGTTTGGTAACAATGGGAAATATTGCAGATCAAACGATCAAGGCTGATTTAGGTAATATCGGTTTTTGTGAGAACCAATCTGTGCTGTTGAAATGTCCATATGATTATTAATTAGCCAAAGGGATAATTTCAGAAACCTCCCTTGAGGTTTTTAACAATTTCATTTAGTTTTCTCGAAATTTTAAAAATTATACATAGCTCCCTTGTCATTTAAAATGACAATACTACCCTTAAATATTTTAGTGAAATTCCCTTGTTTGGTATGTTTATATTTAGAATGACTTTTAAAATTATTTTTTATTATTTTTCTTTTAAAAAAAAAATTTTTTTTGTCAATAAAATTGTAGAACTACATAAATCAGGAAAGTAACCTTTTATAATCGTTTAGACATTTCAAAAAATAAGTAGTGGTTTTGCAATCATATAGACATTTCATAATTTCCCGTAAATCAAAAGGAAGTGTAGTGATTATACTAGTGGTTCTACAGTTTATATGATTATCATATAGTCCATATAGACTACTTACATATAGTCTACATATATGACTACAGCCTATATGATTATTATAGTTGTTTATCAAATAGTAGATATGGACATGAAAAATTTGGTAGCTTTTCTTATAATTACACTATATAATTTTATAATTCTATAGGAAAATAAATTAAAATTCATTACACAAGATCATTTTTTGGGTATTCATTTAAAAATTTGACAAAGTCAATATTATTTTAAGATTTTGTTACTAAAACTATCAAATCAAGGGAGGTAGGTGTAATTTTTAAAACCTCAGAGAAGCTCAGTGAAATTGTTAGATATCTCAGGGGAGATTTTTGAAATTATCCAAAAGCACGATCAGCGAAACTACTTGCCCGCACAGTTATATGTAAGCCGCAGCTCTAATCGTTAGCACATCAACAAGTATTGTGTTCAAAAGCTACACTGCTTGTGAACCGACCAATATTTACTCAACAAACACATAAAACTCCATTAAGGAATGTTTGTGTTTTGTCAGGTTTTATTCCCAAATCCTCTGGTAGCGAAGTCGAACTTTATATTGGCTAATATTGCCAAGTCAATCAAGTTACTCAAAAGCCCTCTATAGCCTTCCTACCCGCCTGAATCCCTTGTGGTGGCGGCACGCATATACACTCCGGTGGGATAGAGCAAGCGTAGGAGAAACCTCAGACTCGTCCGTGGCTTGTATGCCCGCAAACTTTCCTGCCAAAGCTTTTCAAAAAGTGTCGAGCTCTGAAACCAACCCCAACCCCAAGCCCAACACCCCCCCCCCCCCCCCCCGGGAGACAAAATAGTGTATTTCCATCTAAAAGCGTCACAATCGGGCACGGACTCTAATTTTTGTGTTGATCATAATATAAAGTTGATTTGCTTGTGTGCTAATATCAAAAATCATAAAAAGCTCAAAGCTCACATGTAGTCGTTGCACGAGATACGTAACACAACAAATGCACTAAAAGATCATATTATAAAAGATTAATGTTTGAGGTCGATATTGTGTTACTTATCATGTAAATACAGAATCAGTTAGTCTAGTATATTTTTCTGATATCGTGTTCCTTCTGTTCTTTCTCAGTGATCATAGTGGCATTTTTTTTTTCTTTCATTTTAAAGAAAATCAATAGCGATTCTTCATCTACGCTTGATGATGATTCAGAGAACTTTTAGGTAAATGATCTTGCCAACTAACTTGTTCGGAATCATAGTAGCATTACAGGCGCTAATTTTTAACATTTGAGACCGCCCGAGTATCTATTCTATAGGGGTTCAGGTATAACCAGAGTGGAGATCAATAATTAGTTAAATTAGAATATGATTAATGGTTTAGAGTTGTCAGTAACACTCCAATTTATAGCTATATCTGTAATTTTGCCATTCTCAATTTACGTTGTGATAATTAATCTTTTTGTGCCTAACAATCCGTCTTGGCCCGCAAAGCTTTCATCTTTTTCCAGCCAAAAAAAAAACAGTGGAACTTGGACGTTCACTAGACTCCATCAAACACATGCAACAATTAGGCTACATCGTAGTAAAAAGTACAATTCAGACTTGGAATCCATTTCTAATCTAGAATTCTGAATCACTAGCTAGCTCATAAAACATCCGCATTCTAAATTTTCTTTTTCTTACGAGGCATATCTACAAATAGAATTTCCAAGTTAACCATTTAAATGGGAAGGAGATGCAACAATAAGAAATGATACAATCTGAATCAAGCACCACCTGTTCAATTGCATCGCAAGAACTTTTCGTGATCGATCGGTGCGAACTAATAGGAAAAGAAGTAATGAAGTCGCTGGAACTTTTTTTTTTTTTTTTGAAAAAAAAAGAAAGAAAAAAGAAAAAGAGGGAGTAGCAGCATATCAGGGCAAATAAAGCATGGGAGGTACAAGGTAGGTATTGAGGGTGGAATCAAATGCTTTACGAACTTCGATATGACAATAATGAGTTCTACCAATTAATGTACAATTTTGTCCTCCACAATTTCGGGAAACATATATACATATATAGGGGACATGGTGTACAGAAACTGAGGAGCTAATCCTACACTAGAAACACCAAAATACCCGTACAAGAACTACAGTACAAAAACAACAGCCATATCCCCACAATGGATGTACATGATAATAAAAAACCACCGACAATATCAAGTATACATACTTGGAGCCGACGAAGGCAGCCAACGCTTGATGAATCTCGTTTTCTCAACAAATTCACGGTACAGCTATCTAGCTGTCCTGAGTCCACCATCTACCTGCAAATAAAATCTTAATGAGCTCGTACTTAATGGAGATTACTTACAAGTTTAGGGTTATAGAGAGATGCGCACCTAGAGAATACCCGAGCTTGATACTCTTATTGAGCTGCAGTTGACTCGGTGCTGGCGGAGCTTTTCTTTCCTCGGACCAATACCGGCAAACCACCGTGGAAAGTGGCCGTAAGTCCAGGAGAGAAGCGCGGGCTTTGATGGGCTTCAGCTAAAACGATGTGAAAGTCTCGCAGCAATGAAATTGCTACACTCTTGAGCTCCACAAGTGCCATATCTTTCCCCAGACAGACCCTTAGTCCAGCTTGAAACACCGGATACTTGAAAGGGTTTTCTTGGAAGAAGACGCCATCTCTCAACCACCTCTCGGGCTTGAATTCTAAGCAATCGGAACCCCAGATATTTTCCATCCGCCCCATCGCGTAAGGATGATAAGTAACTCGTGTTCCCTTCTTAACAGCGGTTCCATCAGGGAAGATGTCATCCTCCAGGCAAAATTTTGAATCGAATTGTACGGGTGGGTACAGTCTCATACTCTCAAAGATTGCAGCATGCAAATACTGAAGCTCTCTTAGTTGTTCCAAGCTGGTGAGCTTTTCTTTAGGCCCCACGACTCGATCAGCCTCCCGTTGAATAGCAGCCTCGACTTCCGGGTGGTTAGCCACAAGCCAGAAGAAGCTTGTCAAAGTCGAGGCAACTGTGTCGCGACCTGCTAGGAGGAAGCTTATTATAATATCTCTTAAGTAGGTTTCATCAGTGACGCTGCCCATAAATCGAGAGAGAAGATCTTTGTGTTCGGAAAAACCTAATTTTCGGCGTTGCCTTATGACTTCTTTAGCTAGTAGGTTGATCATCTGGATGGCTTTCCGGAGTTCCTTCTCGCTGCCTATATTCAGCATCCTTTTGACCTTCCAAGTAACTGGTGCAGCGGTCATGGCCCTTTCCGCCGACAATCTGGATGCTAGGTCAAAACAGACAGCAAACTCTGAAAGCGGCAGGGATATTTCTAGACACCTGGGGTCCAACCCAAACGATACTCTGCAAATACAATCGAATGAAAATCTGCGGAAAACGTCTTGAAAATCAAGAACGCGATCTTCTTTACCCGCTGCGAAGGAGGAGAAAAGAGGAATAAGGCGATTTTCGATCTCGTGTTGGACAACATCGAAGGCGTAAGATCTCATGGAGATTCGACACAGCTCAAGACTGGCCATTTTCCTCTGGAATTTCCATAAGTCACCGTCAACGTTAAATATGCCCCGGCCGAGAAAGTCCCCTAGGATGGTCGAAAAAGGTTTGCCTTTGGGATAATTCTCAAACCTGGTTTTGAGTATGTACTCAACATTTTCGGGATTAGCAGTGATTATGTTGCCGAGTACGTGTACGTGAATAGTTTGAGAAGGCGAATCCTGGAGGAGATAAGTGTACCAATCGCACAAGTTTTTGAATTTGACTGACCAACTGGAGCTAACATAAGCTTGGCAAATCACACACTTGCACCAAACTCTTGGCCTCATAACAAAATACTTCAGGATAAGAAATACAAAAGCCATCGCCAAAGAGAAGACAAGGAAACAGAAAGCTTGAAACTTAGGCACGATAAAGCACGAAAATTGGGTAGACTCCATGGATGGGTGATTTTTTTATGAAGATAAAGAGGGTGCGGGCAATGGAAGGCCAATAAGAGTAGCTAGCATGGACTAAGGAGAAAGAGACCAATATGTATTATTTTGAAAGAGTTACATATATAATGAACCAACAGTTGAACAAGGAAATACAAAACCAGGTTCCACTGTTCTTCGTTATCTTTAGGTAGGAAACAAAATTATATCTGCAAAAAAAAAAAAGAAAAAAAGAAAGGTGAGAGCACGGATAACGCATGGGCTAAAGGAAAAAATCAGTTTGATGACGCATCCTTCTGCACCATCCAACCAAACAGTATATAAGACTATATCTAAGCTAAGCTAATGCAATATATAGTTTGTACACATTCCAACACGTGCTCATATTCTTTCATTTGTACCCACTCAATGGGTATAATATTGGGCTCGGCAGCGTGGCGACTCATGGGAGCATGTTGTCATGTTTATGGGTGTTCACTGAATTATTTTTCCCTTTGAGAAACTGCAACTAACGCCATTTTGCCTCTTTCCAGCTAGTGTGGTCGAATCATATGACTTCATAATGGCTGGCTTTGGTCTTGCTCCCCACAACAATGCAAATTTTCTGAAGTTATTCAATTCATAAAAATGAGGACCAAAAAAAAAAAAAAGTATGTAAGTGCAAAGGATACAAACTATTAATATGTGATTCAGAAAACAGAATCCCTTTCTGAAGTTCTCAAAAAACTAATCTTGTACCATGTTATATAAGTAAATTCTGAATTATGGTAAGTTAATGGATTCTAAGTCATACATTCAAGATTTGAATCTGGGTAAGCTAATTTATTTGTACGATTATTTGATGCAACGAATCTTTTAAAATCCCACTTTCTGTTCCGTTGTATGATCTATTTTTTATTATATTGCTATTTTTCCTTCATAAACATTATATTTTAATTCTTTTTTGTTTCCTTAAATTTCAATAACTATTAAATGAGTAATATGCAAAATTTAACAGACTCAAAAAATCAAAATACACAAAAAAAAAATGAGATTTTTTGTGAATGTTGTCCTTTATTTTGTGATTTTCTATTAAAAATTATTTTTTTGAGATTGTTGTATTTATTTTTTACTGTATTAATAGTTATTCGACAGTAAATAAAAAAGAATTAAAATATGATGTTTATGAAGATTTAAAATGTGTGACAGAAGATTTATCTGAAAAGAATAAAGAATTAAGCAGAATAGCCTTAGACAGACACAAAAGTTCTTGAGACTCTAGTGGAGCAAACATGTACCAGTACCTTCTCTATTGAGAGATTAACTGTGATCTGTTTTAGCTTCTATACCTCTTCTTTCGCCATAATTATCGCTTGGTGGGCAGCTTTCAGATGAATCTTCTTGGGATGCGACCTTGCAACGGTAAGTCTATGTCCATGGGATGGGATATATATATATATATACACACACAGTGTGTATGTACATGTGTAGTGTTTTGACAAAAGGGAGTGGTATATAATATATCGTCAACCATGCAATCACAAGGTGAGGCCACTCGTCATTGGTGCCATATCTGATTGAAGCAAATTGGATAAGCCATAATTCCATGCATGGAGTAAACTTTTTCAGAAAGCAACCGATTTCCGGTTATGCAGTATGTACGCTAATTACATCTCAACTGTTAAATGTGGTAACCGGAACGGAGAAACTGACGCGGGGCGATAGCAATTTCAGAAGGTCCAAACTGGTGTTCTTCCATGGCGACAAATTAATCAGAATTTTTGGGCACCCCGTAATTATCCACATTCATGTTTTTGGCCTTTAAGGTGACACTCCCACATCCTATACGGGTTAGGTTACATGGCTGTTATTCACAGACAAGACTTTAGATGAAGCTCGACAAGTTTGGTTAAGTATGGTATCCGGCTTAATTTCATTGGAGAGTTGAGGCCAGAGCAGTCCCGTCAGGTGATGTTATGTTTCACGAGCAAGTAAACCCGGCCAATTATTAAATCGGCGGATCACGAGATTAGTTTCGCTACCTGACATAAACGATTTAAGTAAAATGATGATTGCTTGCTAATTGCTATGTATAGTATATGACGCCTATAGAAAATGTACATGCATGTTCTTGCCACCTTCACTTCACCCATTCAAATTGATTAATGCCAAACGCAGGTGCCTTCAACTTCATAGCGGCGGCATCTGCTATAATTTTCACAAAAATAAAAGGGCGGAATCTTTCTATTTTATGTTTTCTTAATAATTTTTAACCATTAAAATTTTGTATCATACATCAACTTGAGAAGGAAACAGGCTGAAGTGCGTTCTGGACAAATTAGACAGCTCTTTCAAATTGACTGTACTTTCTTTAAACGGAAGCAACATGACATGTGCATATATATGAAACGACCTGTGATTTCTTTTCTAATGGTACCACGTTTCAATTAAGCCAGCAGCAAGTTTGCAAATTATTTAAGATTTCTTTTTAGTTTATTTTTTCTAATAGACACCATTCTAGGGTTTGAAAGCCCACCTGGATTGTTATTTTTACGATTTTTTTTTTTTAAAAATATTATAACAATTTGATGTATGCAATTGCAAGATAAAAAAAATGATTGAAAAATATGTTTACAGGAAACGAAATTTTATTATATTTTTTGTAAAAAAAAATTACAATCCAGAAAGGAGTTGTAACGAATAAAACGTCCTCACGGAAAGGAAAGCGGAGAATTATTGACGGGAGGAGCTATAAGTCATTGAAAGAGTTATTCGACGGTTAAAGAGAGAGCAATTAGCTTTGTTGTCAGTTTCTGTTGAAAGAAAAATGATATTAGGGATTAATTACTGAGTTTGACTAGCTCGTGAATTGCTAAACAATCGATCTCTTCGGATACCCAAGGGAACGAACAATGCCAAGCAGTCTTGTACGAAAACAATTATATTAATGGAACACAAATAGCAAAGAAAGAGAAACACGGGACGGGAATAAGTTTAACCCATAATGGCAAGACGCATCCATTAGGATCATCCTCCTCATACTGACGTGGCGCAATAAGAGTAAAATATATATAAGCATTAGAATTGCGAGCAAAATAATAATATAGTCTTTAAAGATTCCTAACACATGTAACCGGGCCCACCCATTAAAGTATAAAAGGAAATATTTGCTCTTTCTCTTTAATACTTAGAATATGACAACGGCACACAATTTAATTGATTTGACGCTTCATCTATAATTAGTAAATTATGAAATTTTTTTTTAAAAAAAATATATATTGAAACATACTACTCCTACCTTCACCTTCTTTTTTATTTTTTATTTTTTATTTTGGGTTTCTTGTGGTTGAGCAACGATTTGCAGATCGCAGTATTTAATTGTAACAGATTTAAGACTTTAATTTGAGCTTTCCAGTTTGTACGAGACTACTTTTCCAATCAACAAAAACAAAAAAATTCCACGTCGATCGCAGGCATCGATTTTCTCATACACACTGAATTTATTATTATTATTTTTTTAGTGCCTTGAAATCCTGAAGATAGAATTTGTAATTACATTTATCGAGATCCAAAAGGACGACCGAGACAGCATAAAGCATTTGTAAATTGATAATAAAAAAAAAAACAAGAAAATTTGTCCATGCACATGTGATCCATTTGTCAGTCGTCTTTAATTCCCGAGAATGCACGGGCAATATAAGCTTTGGGATTGGACGAAAATTCCGCACGGTGAGTTAGGAAAGTGACAAAAGTAATCTGTTTACTTAGAGGCCAGAATAAAATTACTCCATGTCTTTTTTTCCCCTGTTTGCTTCCAAGGAGCAACTCCAATGGCCGTCTAATGAACATTACAATGATGCGTGTAAATGCTGGTGAAAAAGAGGAGATAGTGAGTCCCTTTGTGCAACGGATAAATTTGGTTAAACATAGATAACGGTTAAAATTTTATGGTGCAAGTTAACGTTCAAATTTTTTTTCAGCAGTCATTTTTTGATTCTCTCTATTAGGGGTGTTTTGCGAATCGAGTCGATCGCGAGCGGCTCGAATACGAGCTCGACTCGTGCTCGTCAATATCGAGCTCGAGCTAATTAAGTCGATCTCGAACTCGAGCTCAAACTCAAAAACATTAAACTCGTTGGCTTGCGAGCTCAATTATATATATTTTTTTATTTTTTATTTTTTATTTTTTATTTTAATAGTAAAATTACATATATATCCCTAATATTTTATTATTTGTTGAAAAAATTATTGTTTTATTCATTTTTTTTTTAAAAAATTATTTTTTATTTTTTAAAAATAAAATAATAATTATTTTTTTTTTATTTTTTAAGCTCGACTCGAATTTGACTCGAGCTCGAGCTTGATATTTTGAGCTCGTCGAGCTCGAGCTCGAGTTCGAGCTTCACAAAATTAACTCGAGCTCGGCTCGATTAGCCAAAACTCGACTCGAGCTCGGCTCGTTTGCACCCGTCTCTATATAAACATACAAGACACCTTTTTTTCTTTTTTTCCTATTTCACTATCTTTCTTTATTATTTCTCTTAATCTCTCACTAATTTTTCTCAACCTCTTTGCACAATTTTCTAAAATTTCAATATTTTGTAATTATGGATGATAATTTTAGTAGTTTTTGAAATATGTTAAATGTTCCAAATATAGAAAATTCATTCTCCTCACAAAATCAAAACCACCAAAATTACCCAAATTTCAGAAAATAACAATTTATTATTTTTTGAGAGACAGAAAAAGATATATTTTCAAACTCAGAAATTAATAATAATATTTTTTAGAAAATAAAAAAATTATTTTTAAAAAATTACTGTATTCATTTACAGGATATAAGTTGTACATTGTTAAAATAAATATTTGATTTAATTATGAACTCGTACTATTATACTATATGGAGTGTAATTCATTACGAATGAAAATATATTGAAATATCAACGTAGCACGTGAATTACACGCACTATGAATGCCCCAAGAATCCATGCTTACGTAGGACAAAGAAACGGGCTCCTGCTGATTGATACACGTCGCACCGTCAATTACCCAAATGAACAGTAAAAATAGGAATATGTTATATATGTACGCTGATCAACCAAGAGAGAAAAGCGACACTCATGACATGATTGTCTTTCCCACTAACTCCTCCTCTATC